GAGCAGGGGCGGCCCTATAGAACAGAGCAGGGGTGACTCCATAGAAGGCAGCAAGAGTGACCCTGTAAAAAGGAGCCAGAGCACCCCTCTAGAAGGGACCAGCCCTGCTCCATAGGGTTTCCAGGGTTCAGTCTCACTCGTCTGTAAGAACAGATTGCTTTGGTGCTCTGCCAAGCAGTTGGTGGGCTTGAACCGCTGACCTATAGGTTAGGCCTAGTGGCCTACTGCACTCTCGAGGGGCCTTGCTAGAAGTTGCAGAGAATTTTGTGGCAGCTCCTGAGTGGCCAGAGTACTTGACAACTTCCCACGGGGGGTGGCTGCCGTCCTGGGACAGGTGCTTTCCTGTTACTCTCGTGGTCAATGCCACTGTGCTGGGGGCTCACCGTGGCCCAGGTGGATCCTGGAGTCTGCAGGGTGGTGTTGCAGGGGAGTGAGAGCTTTGGGGCCTGGCTTTTACCTCTTGCCTTAGTCAACTTTATGTGGTGGCTAGAAGGTTGGCTGGCCATCAGGGTGACGCCAGGGTGACGCTACCAGAGCCCAAGTGCGGCTGTGGACTCACTGACACGGGGGTGGTCACCTGCTGTGATCGAGGTTCAGGTGCCTCCATTGTAGGTGGTGGGACTCAGGATGGACTCTTGGGGTCTGCCTCCTCTGCTGAGGGCCCTCCATCTGGCATGGCACGCTCCTGAGGCAGAAGCAGCATGGGGTGAGCATCTGGCACAGCCCGCAAACCCACGTTCCCTCTGTGATCCAAACGTGAAGACCAGCTTGAGCTTGAGGCCTGGGCCCTAGGTGTCACGCATGCAGTTCCTGAGCCCACAGAAGCGACTTGGCTTTGCCTTTTTTCATCATAATCCCCAACCTCTGCTGCCCGCTCCCTCGGGCCCTGGCCTGTCGAGGTGCTGCGCAGTAGCCCGGCACCAGGAGGCCCATTGGTGCCCATGGTTCCAACTGTAGGTATTCCTGGGAGCAGGCTGCCTCATCTTTCTCCCGTGGAGCAGCTGGTGGGTTTGAACAACTGCTGGTCTGGTTATTAACAGCCTGCACTTAACCTCTGGCACTACCAGAGTGCCCCTGCCATCCCTGTGGTGTGAATTTGCATCTCTGATGGCTGATGACACAGCATCTCTCCTTCCATGTGCTCTCTGGGGGAAATGCTTGCTCAAATTCTTTGCCCATTTTGTCCTGTTAGATTATTAGACTCTAGTTGGCTGTATGGGAGAAAGGCAGGGCTTTCTACCCCCTTAAAGAGTTCCCATCTCAGAAACCCACAGGGGCAGTTCTACCCTGTCCTATATAGGGTTGCTGTGAATCGGCATCAACTTGGGCCGTGAGTTTAGTTTTGGGAGTCGAATGTACAGTGTCTAAAGGTATTTTCTCAGTTGTTAGCCTGTGTGTGTGTGTGTGTGTGTGTGTGTGTGTGTGTGTGTGTGTGTGTGTGGAGACTTTAAATCATGGTTCTAAACCTTCCAAATGCCGTGACCCTTTCATACAGTTCCTCCTGTTGTGGTGACCCCCCAACCATAAATTTTTTTCATTGCTACTTCATCACTGTAATTTTGCTACTGTTATGAATCAGGTGACCCCTGTGAAAGGGTCATTCAACCCCCCAAAGGGGTCGCAACCCCCAGGTTGAGAACCACTGCTTTACATAAACGAAAACTTTTTGTTTTTTATGAAGTGCCCTTCCATTTATTTTGTCTCTTGCTGTTCGTGTTCTTGCTGTTCCGTTAGGTGACCCACTGTTGAAAGCTAGGCCTAAAAGCATCGGCGCGGGTTCCGCCTCCCTGTTCTGCACGTGGAAATCAGCTTTCTTGAGCTAGGCCTCTGTACCCGGTTGCATGGACTACTGCTCCAGGATATCTGAGTGCTCTATTTCTGCACTTTGAATTCCAGTTCGGATGTACTGGCTTGTGTCTTTTGTGATACCAGCACCAGGCTCTTGTGATTGTGCAACTCTGTAATAGAGATGGGAGCCCTCTTGGTGTAGTGGTTAAGCATAGGGCTGCCACCCGAATGGTTGTTGTTGTTGTTTTTTTTTCATAATAGAGATGGATTGACATCTCAGCAAGATGGACTGACACAGTGGCTGCAGCCATGGGCTCAGGCAGAGGGACAATTGTGAGGGCGACGCTGAACTGTGTGGTGTTCCCTCTGCTGTGCAGAGTCGCTGTGGCACCTGATAACAACATAATAAATTCCGAAATCAGGACGGGCCAGGTGGGCCAGGCTTCTGACTGCATGCTCTCAGCACTGTGCTAGATCTCTGGGGCTCTTGCTTTTCTGCATCTCGCTGAGCATCGGATTTTCTATTTCTGTATGGAAGGCTGTCGGAATTCTAACTAGGGCGTGTTCAATCTAGGGATCGCTTTGGGTGACATTGACACGTCTTAACAAGTAACTCTTCCCACTGTACATTTACATCTTCTTTCAGGAGCCCTGGTGGCGTAGTGGATTATAGGCTGGGCTGCTAACTGCAAGTCTGGCAGTTCAAACCCACCAGCCTCTCCCTGGGAGAAAGATGAGGCTGTCTGCTTCTGTAGAGATTGACAGCCTGGAAATCCAAAGGCATTTCTGGTCGGGGAGCTGTGAATCAGAATGGACTCTGGCAGCGAGGCTTTTCTGTCCTTCTCAGAGATGCTCTATGAACAGTCCCTCGCGGCCCTGCTTAAACTGTTCTCTGAAATGCTCTCGTGGAATTGCTTCTCTGCTTATCCTTTCAGGTGTTTGATGACTGGTGCACAGAGACCCTGCTGGTTTTTCTTTGTTGCTCTGGTACCTGCAGCGTTGCCAGACTCCCCCTGAGCTAGAGAAGGTTCCTGGTTGCTTTCCTTGTTTTCCAATCCACTGCCGCTGAGCCAGTTCCAGCCCACGGCAGCCAAGTGGGACAGACTTGCTTTCCAGGACTGTCACCGCCTCACGTTCTCTCCCAGAGCATCTGGTGGCCTTGAACCACCACCCTGGCAATTAGCAGCCCGACCCTTAGCCCACTGTGCCACCCGGGCCCCTCGTTTCCAATCTGGAGGCTTGCATTGCTTTTTCTTGCCTTGTTCCCAGAGCCAGGGCTTCTAGTCAATGCAAGTGGTAAGAGCAGGCATCCCATCTTGTTCCTGACCGCCAGGAGAGAGGGGCGCCATGTTCGTCCCTTAGGCTGGTGCCAGTGTTTCTTCCTGATCACACCAAGACATTCCCTTCCAGAACGTGCTGGGCTTGATCAGCTGCTTCTGCTGCAGATGCGGCTGTGTGGTCCCCCTATGCTCTTGGTGTGGCTTTGAACTCACTCTTTTTGAACTCCTCTTGAATGATGAGGACTCCCTGCCCTGACTCAGCGCTGTCTGCAGTCTGCCCTGGCATCCAGGTGCTGTCCAGTGCCCCGTCCTGCCCCCCTGCCTGCTGGACGGTGGTCTGAACTGAGAAGGCCAGTCACAGTGCCTCACACCCAGGCACTGCTTGTTCTAAATCATACTGGGCTCTGTGAGGTGACAGGTGCTTTCACCTGTCTCGGGACTTGCACCTGGGGCTCTGGAATATGCTGCTGGCTGGGGCTGAGTGCGCTGAACAGGGCCGGCTGACTTGATGCTCATTCCTGTGATCTCGGGGAGGAGAGTAGTTAGCTTGGAGGACCCCTGCTTGAGGCCCTTGGCAGGTAGAGCCGAGGGCCACAGTGTGTGTGTGCCGTGTCCTGTGTCCTATGTGCAGAGATTATCAATGAGAATGTGAGAATCCTTGTACATGCTAAGAAAGTCACCAACAGCTTAGTAGAAAGGGGACAAAAAGTAGAGGCAGGAAATTTTTAAGAAATTAAAATGACCTCTAAGAAAAGAAATCCCCAAACCTGCCCGGCTGGCCGCTGTGCGTGGGTGGGTCCCAGGAGGCGCCGAACAGCACCCGTGTCATGCTGTGTGCAGCCCGTGTGGGTTCTTAGCCATAGGAAGGACTGGGAGACCTCGAGGCTGGGGAGTGGGGCGGCCACCCCAGCTAGGGAGCCAGTTGGTACCTCAAGTCCTCCTGACAGGATGCTAAGCTTGGGGGTGTCTGAGATGAGATGAGAGGCTGCTGGTTGAGAGGACCCTCTCCTTCTCAGGCATGGCTCCTGGCGGGAGCCAGTCAACCCCTACTACGTCAACTCCGGCTACGCCCTGGCACCAGCCACTAGTGCCAATGACAGCGAGCAGCAGAGCCTGTCCAGCGACGCTGATACCCTGTCCCTCACTGACAGCAGCGTGTAAGTCTTGCCCTGAGACCAGGTTGCCTGGCTTCCCCCTTAGGAGCCGCTGGCCCCCTCCCCAGGATGTGTGCCCAGACTCGTCCAGCCCCGGGGTCCGTGTGCTCGGCTCTCTGAGCCCTGGAGGGGCTAGTGTGTAGGTGAGATGGAGGCTGGCCTCCATGTGGGTCCCGG